CTGGAAACTGTTTCTGTCAACAATGAATAATTATATATCAAGAATGGAGACTGGAAAGACTGTATCTGCAACAATGAAGACCTACTGGAAAAACTTTATCGTCGACAAATGAAGACTGGAAAACTGTTTCTGTCAACAATGAATAATTATATATCAAGAATGGAGACTGGAAAGACTGTATCTGCAACAATGAAGACCTACTGGAAGACTTTATCGTCGACAAATGAAGACTGGAAAACTGTTTCTGTCAACAATGAATAATTATATATCAAGAATGGAGACTGGAAAGACTGTATCTGCAACAATGAAGACCTACTGGAAGACTTTATCGTCGACAAATGAAGACTGGAAAACTGTTTCTGTCAACAATGAATAATTATATATCAAGAATGGAGACTGGAAAGACTGTATCTGCAACAATGAAGACCTACTGGAAAAACTTTATCGTCGACAAATGAAGACTGGAAAACTGTTTCTGTCAACAATGAATAATTATATATCAAGAATGGAGACTGGAAAGACTGTATCTGCAACAATGAAGACCTACTGGAAAAACTTTATCGTCGACAAATGAAGACTGGAAAACTGTTTCTGTCAACAATGAATAATTATATATCAAGAATGGAGACTGGAAAGACTGTATCTGCAACAATGAAGACCTACTGGAAGACTTTATCGTCGACAAATGAAGACTGGAAAACTGTTTCTGTCAACAATGAATAATTATATATCAAGAATGGAGACTGGAAATACTGTATCTGCAACAATGAAGACCTACTGGAAGACTTTATCGTCGACAAATGAAGACTGGAAAACTGTTTCTGTCAACAATGAATAATTATATATCAAGAATGGAGACTGGAAAGACTGTATCTGCAACAATGAAGACCTACTGGAAGACTTTATCGTCGACAAATGAAGACTGGAAAACTGTTTCTGTCAACAATGAATAATTATATATCAAGAATGGAGACTGGAAAGACTGTATCTGCAACAATGAAGACCTACTGGAAAAACTTTATCGTCGACAAATGAAGACTGGAAAACTGTTTCTGTCAACAATGAATAATTATATATCAAGAATGAAGACTGGAAAGACTGTATCTGCAACAATGAAGACCTACTGGAAGACTTTATCGTCGACAAATGAAGACTGGAAAACTGTTTCTGTCAACAATGAATAATTATATATCAAGAATGGAGACTGGAAAGACTGTATCTGCAACAATGAAGACCTACTGGAAAGACTTTATCGTCGACAAATGAAGACCTACTGGAAAGACTGTTTCTTTCAACAATGAAAACGCGAACGATTGTATGTTTCTTTCAACAATTTGTATAAGACAAACTGCCGAGGGATCACGAACATATACTGTAGCACACGGAAACTCTGATTTTGTTTTCACCCTAAGACATTTTTCCATTCCAGCCCCACAAGCAAGGGAAAATCACCTAAATGTAAGGAAAGCTAGTCAAACATTAGTCGATTCTGGGAGTGTATAAAGTATCTCAAACAAGATTCATTTGGTATTCACGTTATCATATATTATTATACAATAATATTATCTTGTTAGGCTTAAAAACAAATTTTATTTTTTGTAAAAAGAAAGAATATTATTGATAACCCTCTCATATCTTTATTATCGGAGTTAACACTTAGTCATAAATCATTGCAATATAAACAAACATACGATAAATCACTTCTTTAACAGCTTCATTTAGGATAATGGACTTCATTGAATGTTTAAAACTGACACATCCTGTTGCATTCGATTTCTAAATTCATTCACAACTAGATTAAAATACAGATCTGGAAATGGTGTCCTTATCTGCTTAGTACTAATATTACGATCTGAAGACATTTTTGACGGTAGAGTGCTTACACCTCATCCAATGAACGTGTTTCGTTAGAGTTTAACTAATGCTAGAGAAATTTTGGGATATTTAAGCATAGATGTGTAGTATAATAAAAGTTAATCTTGGGTTTATATACATTATTAAGCTGATCGAGACTTAAATTAAAGAAGGATTAATTTATAAAATTGGCTTTCGCTTTAAAACAACAATCGCCAATAGATTCACTTCCTTAGCCTTTCTTACAATCAAACCATATCAATATATTATCCAAATATGCTCATTAATCGCTCCGTACTGTCACTTTAAGTCAAGAGATATGAAGTAACATGCTTGCAATTTCCCGAAACACAAACTGATTTGGCAGCGATAATTTCGTCATATTACTTCATACATAAATAAGGACCTTATCATCTGTCGAAATTATTATGTTTTTTGATTTGATTTGCATATAGATTTGATGTCTAAATTAAAATTGTCTGAGATGTCTTTCTCTGAATCAACATAGTTGACGTGGATAAGACAAAGCATAAACCTTGAAAGTTCCGCTAGTGCTCTGAAATATATCTCACTGTTTAATGTCTGCTCCAGCAAGTTTTCATGTCAAAAGTTACTTTTGCATTTATCCTGAAAAACCAAATTTAACAAGTGCTTTATGTTCTAAAACCCAGTGATACCTCGTAAAACAAAACTTATTGGTCAAGATATAAGAGTCATTTTAGGCTCATACTCGTCTCTTTCTTGAAACCAGCAATATTGTCTGGTAAAATGAAAAGGGTATCGTGTTTTCCAAATGACCCAGCGAGATGAGATATTCTGTAATATTATTATCTCAATCGAAGAAAGATTGTGTGATTTATTTCTGAATTCTCAGCGAAGTCGTAAATCTTGGAGCCAAATATTTTAAAGTTGCAGTATTAATAGCACTTATCCCTGTTATTTTGGAGCTCGATTATATTTTGTTCCTACTGCTTGATACGATATGTTCATGGTTTTGATCGAGAAATGTTTTAACCGCACGAAACCTTTCTATGATAAAGTGTACAAAGCAAAAGAATTATATGATTATAGGTACATGGCAACAAAATTATATGATAATGGGTACATGGCAAAAGAATTATATGATAATGGGTACATGGCAACAAAATTATATGATAATGGGTACATGGCAAAAGAATTATATGATAATGGGTACATGGCAAAAGAATTATATGATAATAGGTACATGGCAAAAGAATTATATGATAATGGGTACATGGCAAAAGAATTATATGATAATGGGTACATGGCAAAAGAATTATATGATAATGGGTACATGGCAAAAGAATTATATGATAATGGGTATATGGCAAAAGAATTATATGATAATGGGTACATGGCAACACAATTATATGATAATGGGTACAAGGCAATAAAATTATATGATAATGGGTACATGGCATAAGAATCGAAAATGATGAAACTATGTCACGATAGCCTGGCTTTAGTTGAAACAGCTACTAGGAAGTCTGAAGGCATTAAGCAATAAAACATATCTTTAATTTCAATTGAAATATTCTGCCTGTCTGTTTTATGTATCTCAACATATAATTAGTCCGGAGACTTTTTAAATATTTACTCAGTCAGATTAAAACTAACAAGATAAATAACTTTTATCATACATCCAATATATAATATAATCTGAAACTCATTTCTTGTCATAAAGTTCTATACATGTTAAAATGCAATTTAATGGAATAGAGTTTTACGTCTCATTTTTCTGCACCCGGGAGACGATCAAAGCTTTTAGTGTGCAATGAGGGACATTGTGCCAATACAGCGGTATTATCGTAATCTTTAGTCCAATTCGAACTGTCGGGGTATCTTTGACATGTTCAGCCTTACGCACAAGGGGCCCCTTGTTTACCGTCAAATACTTCCCATTTCCTACTTGGCATTCGACCGTCCGTCATGTCTGCTCTGACCTCCCTTCGTCCAGATGTAGGATTGGTTTAATTTTGACTAAAAGTAGTCGGTTTGTTATTATTCATACAGGTCAAGGGTCACCCAAAAATAAACGACCACACTGTTAAAAATTGTGTAAATCTGTTAACGTCGAACTGGAATGAACATCGAATCATCAATGTTTCTTGTTGGTACGAAAGAAGCCACTCTTCGTCTAATTTTGATGAAATTTGGTACAGGCGTGTAGAATTTTCCCTTCAAAATCAAACTGCGTTCGACATAAATGAAACATTCTGTTTACGTTGTTGTGACAAATGAATTTGAGTTATTGCCCTTGATGTAATAAAAATCAACGCGAGATGTGTTTAGTTTTCGGAATCACACTGATATGCTCACAAATCTTAAACGAGTTCAGTTATTCTTTTCTTTGCGTTTGAGTTATTGGCCTTGACTTACCTAAAATACACTTAAGAGAATTGTTCTTTTTATGGACGACAGTATCCTCAACCGATTTCAACTCTCATTATGATAATTACTGCTGGAAAAACAATTCGATTTTTTTAACCGCTGCTGTCTGTGGGCGTATGTTATAATGTCTAACAAGGTATATTCATTTTAAAGTCTGTACATTTTGGGAGATGTTATTATTTCAGATTGATTCTTTTGGTATTTTTATGGTCCAAAAGTATTGTACTCGTATCCTGTGAAATTAAGTATAGAATATAGGATAGAATGATATTCAAAATGAACGATCAGTATAAACCGGCAGTTAAAGTCTGTTATTTTAAAAAAAGCATATTAATAATCACATTTGATAAAAAAAGGAAATCCAATTTATTTAACGCTGACAGAAGTACATTACCTTGTAACTATAAACACTGGTATTTTTGCGACAGAAAATGAACTGTGTCTGATTTTGACGTATCTGACCTTTTCATGCAGCAAATCTGTATAAAGAATTCAGCTTTTATAAAAAATTGACGAAGTATCTCCATATCCAAACACTGAAAGTTGGTCATTTGTTGCTCCTGAATTTTTCAATTATGTTAATACCTGTGTAAGCATAACAACAATTGAATTTATGTAATATGTGGTAAAAAATATATCGATATTTATAAACTGACTGCTTTGAGAATCCTTATTACAAAGAGTTTGATTCTTTAATATCTTTTAGCTTGTCACTTAAGATGTTTCAATTTTGACAGAAAAACATCGTAATTAGTTTCATGTCTTGCTTCTTTGATTGTTAGGCTCTAAAAATATACACATGTTTTAAAGGCAAATATAGAATAATTGATCTGATATCAATATCGTTGTCATGATATTACTCGAGTTTTTAGAGAAAAATATACAGTATGTTATGTAGATAAATAGTGTTTATGTTTGTGTTTATAAATTATGTTTATTTATTTACCTAGTTATTTTATGTTCTATACCAGTCTAATTCAAATTAGACCTAACTTCCGTTCGTATTTTATTAGTTTCGTTTTCCTTCATATCTCCTCGATAGTTGAATTATCCTCAATATATTGCTCTTTATTTCAAAATAGAAGTTCAAAATAGCTAAAAATCCATTTTAAGTCAGAAAAAAACAATATTGGGATATTTTACGGAATGTAGATCTGTTTTTAAAAGGAATATAGCAAGTTCGTCATTTTCAATACCTATTTTGATATTCAGAACATGGACGTATGGACTTATGTTGTATGTTTCGGACTACAATTTCTAAAGTGTTTTTCTGTAAGCTTTCGTAGAAGATAGACTTATGGTCTAATATCTATCAACAATAATATATAAAATCCTTTTAAGAAAATAATCATACATTGCTTCAAAGCAATTTTTGGTAATTGACTTGTTGAGTGATATATATTACCGAATAAAGCCAAACTGTATGTGAATTGTCTACATTGTAGCCATTGTGTACTTTCGATATTTGTTCTTTGGGGAGTTTTTTTATATACCGAATTTATATGGAAATTAACTGTTTGAAAAAAGTTGAAAGACCCAACTATTAAACTAAAACCCCTTGTGATATTAGACTAAGACCCAACTATTAAACTAAGACCCAACTATTAAACTAAGACTCCTTGTGATATTAGACTAAGACCCAACTAATAAACTAAGACTCCTTGTGATATTAAACTAAGACCCAACTATTAAACTAAGACCCCTTGTGATATAAAACTAAGACCCAACTATTAAACTAAAACCCCTTGTGATATTAGACTAAGACCCAACTAATAAACTAAGACCCAACTATTAAACTAAGACCCCTTGTGATATAAAACTAAGACCCAACTAATAAACTAAGACTCCTTGTGATATTAGACTAAGACCCAACTAATAAACTAAGACCCCTTGTGATATTAGACTAAGACCCAACTATTAAACGAAGACCCCCTGTGATATAAAACTAAGGCAAAACTATTTAACCAAAATGTTAGGACGGTACTAAATTTCTATCTCATGTTTAACCTGCAACATTTTTTCTCGTTGTACACTAAATGATGCTGCAATTCAATTTCTTTAGAACGTTATCTGGGTAAATCGCTCTAAATGTCTAGATAGAAATATCTAATTAAAATATGATTACATTTTCATATTTCTATTATTTATTAAAGATAACATGTATACGGAGACCACACATGAGATCAGATGATACAAGGCACTGTTGGTATTGTAAATAATGACATGTCTGGCGCTTGTCAAAAGTAAATTGCTCAATCCAATTTAAATGCAGATTTGGATGTTTGGTATATCTGCAGGTTACTACAATTGTCATGAATGCTCTGACGATATTCTTTGATTTAAATTGAATTCTGAGCTCAAAAGTTGTCATTATTTATTTGAACTATTCAAAAAACATTGTTAAACAATGGTTTGACATAAAAGCCTTGATACTCAAGATATATACTAATCATTTTGGTGCTCCACTTTACAAAATAAGATGTTTCAAGAGAATAAACAAAGGCAATGATGTAAGGTATATTAAAAATTTATAGAAATACATCAGTTTTATCATTGGTATTGACATAATGGCGAATAAAGTTCCGTTGTATATTTTACTGCTGTCATAAAATATGCCTGTGTGCTCAAAGGCTGGTAAAAGTCACATTTTCTAATTGTAAATAGATAGTGCTTCTACAGGAGGATTGGTAAAAGGACCATCATGTAGACCAGATCCTTGAGAAGCCAAAATTTTATCCTTGTAAAGAAGGTTGCTACGTTCTTTTGTATAACTTTTTAAACCAAGAAGGTTATACGATGTTCAAATGGCTTGAAATGTCTGTCTTAATAATAATAGTAATAATAATAATAATAATAACAATGTCTTTATTACAAAAGGTTACAAAAATTAGCCCATACAATATCGATGAGCATCAAGATAAGTACCCAGTGAGTGAGTGAGGAAAAAGAAGAATAAAAAAAAATAAAAAATTTAGAATGTACATATTTCATCAAAAAACACGAGAAGGTGTCAATAAACTTGACAATTAAAGTGTAATAATACTTTGTCTTAAAAATTCTACTTCCATAGGGACAATTGGTTTCTTAAAGATGTAAAATTTAAATGTAATAGAAAGCCTAGCTCCAAAAGAAAGCAATTGGATGTCATAAAGTATGCGGCCAACAAATAACAATGAAACCCTTTTTGCAATTCTTTGGCTAAACAAAGGTAATAGGTAAATAATCATTTCATTTTGGTATTCACACCATCATTGTTGCACGTTTCATAACCCAGAGTTTATAATGTTGATTTTATAATAACGATCATTGTCATTCTTTGTTGAAATTGAAATTGCAAGCCAAGCGTCCTTTAATAGTAAATTTCAGCTGTTGTTGGACTGCAAATAAGGTTTTTAATGTCGTTTAATCGAAAATTGTTCAATTTAATTGAAGGCTTTATAGAGTTTTGGCTTTTCAATTGAAGAAAATTACACGTTTGAATTGAAGTATAATTTATCTTTATTGGTGTATTTCTGATTATTTTCTCTCAGAGTTTTTACACACACGAATAATGTGAATATATTGCTTGCTGAACACCGGTTTATTTTTTCCTCTTATACTTAATCAACTTTAAAAGACCAAGCAAATGTAATCTCTTCTGAGAAGCCTGCAAACATAGAAAGCAATACATATGACTACAGCAAAGATATACATGAAAGGTAACGGAAAGATAGGTCGGATTTTGAAGCAATTATGTAGACGATTGTATATCATAATTTAAAGTCTTACCGTGTGCCATGTTGAAATTTATTTGCTTAACTTCTGATCAACTGGATACGTGGAATATCTCATTCAAAAACCTGTCAATCTCTGAACGAAAATCCAGATTACAATCAACCGTTTTAAAAGAATATAATCACACGAATTCTCGTAAGATTTAATATTTGAAAGAGTATTACCATAGTTGATACACAGACAAGTCAAAACTTATGTATTATAGTTAACCGAGTCATCTATTATGTCGTTGTTAATCTATTAAAAATGACGTCGACTTCTCGACACAAAAAGTACTTACAATGTCTTGAACATTTCTTAGAAATCCATTCATATTAGTGATAAAATACCCTACCATATTTCTATATGACTCTACAATTGATATATTGAGCATTATTACATAATGAAAATTCTTTTTTAATGGTTATATTCTATGTAAAAAAAAAAAGATTAAGGGAGATAAGTTATGATTTATGCAAAGAGCCGTGCCCAGTAAATGAAGACTTTAGTAGAATTTCATATAAATTCATATTATAAATTTGCTGTGAATGAGATAGGCGCTTGCAAGCATGGAAAAGTTGATCAGAACCAATTTTGTTGAGAATCTGTTTGCATCATTCAGAAACGTTTCCAATTTTTGTTCGGATTGGAAGTAAATCGAGACCTCGTGTGTCCAGTCTCTTCTCGACAGTTCGAATTCAAGATAGGAATTTGTCATGTCCCTGTCCAAAATGTCCTTTATTGCAGAATGCGTTATAAACCGACCATAAACTGCAAATTTTCACACTAAATTTCACATTAAAGTTAGTTTATTTTGTATATTGACATGGACAGTGGGCTAATTTGTGCATCATTTGAATTACTAGTTTTTTTATATTTGGAAAGAAAAGCCCATGAGCCCTTCTCCCAATTCAGGATTTAATAATAATTTAGGGAGGATATTCAGCAAAAAAGACTTTTCTGTAACTCACGAGTCATGTCCCATTTCGAGATCATTTCAATCCCATGAATTTATTTTATTATTCCTAATTAATATCATACCAGGGTAGGGTTAGAATAATTTTGCTATTAGACTTTCAAAATTGTACTGTCATGGGTTATCTCCCTTATATTAGAAAATTGAATCCGATGGAATACCTTTTTACCAATCTTTTTAAAGAAGTGTGTTATACAATAATATATTCTCTTGTGTTTTCTGTTACATGTGCTCTCAGCTTGTAAGTACCGTTCAAACCTTAATCTTATTAAATAAAATATACTCGTCTTTGCTTTTGATATCTAAAGGTTTGTGGTATAATATTCTGATTCGCAGTGTCGGACTGGCCAGCTCTACTTCCAGATCCTTGTGTCTTTATTGCGGAAGGGATGATCCCTTTGGGTTTTTTAATTAACGCGTTTTACTTAGTACGAAAATTTCAAAATAGTAGGGAAGCGTCTCTCGACCAATAATCAGACTGCTTCATCGGTTTAAGAAATAGTCTGGATCCTGCAGTTTAATTGGCTATACTAGGCCGCTCTATAATTTGAATAGGATGTGATGTGCACTGCGAACTGAGCAGCTCTGGATCCTCGGACCAATGGGTTTCCAACTCATCGTTTATATGCTACTGACTCTAAAGATATTTCAGAGTTTTTAATGTAGTTTAATCGAAAATTGTCCAGGCTTTGAGTTTTCAATTGAAAAAGAATACACGTTTATTTCGGGGTATTTTTATTGATGTATTTATTTATTTCTTATTTTCTCTTAGAGTTGTTACACAATCGAATAATGTGAATATATTGCTTGCTGAACACCGGTTTATTTTATTCTTATACTTAATCATCTCATTCTGGATTCTGAGAGGCCTGCATTCCAAAAAAAAGAAAAATACATACGACTATACAAATGATACTGAGTTGTTTTTCAAGAAATTGTCAATCTGCGATAAAAGTTCTGGAGAGACACGATCTAATACTGTTTTATTTTCAAAATCACGAATGTAGATATCGGCACCATGGTTTAGTAATAATTTAAACATCTCAAAGGCTTCGGAATCTGATCGGCGTGCTATTTTATGGACTGCCGTTTCTTCTTGCTTATTTCGTGACACCGTATTAGGATCTGCGCCGTATTTTAGGAGTGCCTCAACACAGGAGATGTTTCCTTCAGCAACTGCTTCCTGAAGAGCAGTCAAACCAAATCTATTGAAATGTTCAATATCTGACTTCACCTCAAGCAGTAACTGAAGTATGGTGCTACTGTTCGCTACATATTCCTGACAAGCAAACATCAAGGCTGTCATCCCATCATCGTCATCTTCAATAGTAACATCAGCCCCTTCCAATAACAATGATCTTACTGCTTCCACATTCCCTGCCTTAGTAGCCAGGTGAAGAGGGGTTAGACCAGACTTATCCTGTGTGTCAATATTTTTTTTGTTACTGCCAAGAAGCAACTTGATGACCTGTGAAACGCCGTGACTGCAATGACGAATTTCATGAAGCGGCGTCTTTCCTTCATCATCTTGAATATCTGTCCTCGCACCGCTCTTCAGTAAAATTTCTATAATTCTTTGATGCTTTTCATCACCTATATATTCCACAGTATAGTGCAAAGCAGTTCTTTTCTTATTGTCACATTTGTTAACAAATTCTGTTTTATCCCCACATTTATTCAGAAAAAACTCAACAGCCTCATATTTCTGTTCAATACACGCAGTATGTAGTGGGGTACGACCGTTGATATCAGAATCTTCTTTAATGAGCCATATCAAGTATTCAAATTGTAACATGAATTCCAGGCATCTTATACCCCGTCTCTCTGCTAGCAAATGGAATACATTACTGGCTTGAGGGTCCACATTCATGTAGTTCAATTCATTTAATATTAGGACCTTTAACTTTTTATTAACTGTGTCATCATCATTGTTTTCTGAAAAGATTGTCACTTGATATGGTGATCTACCTTTCTCATCAGTGGGCTCATCGTGTGGCTGAAGGTACTGCATTGCACATCGTAAACATTCGATATCACCATCCCAACAAATCTTAGTAATCAAACGTTTCGTTAAAACGTGCGATTGTTGCTTTGAAAATTCTGGCAATATATGTGCCAGGAATGAACCATAGCGTAAACACTTGTATTTTAAAACCGCATCGACGGTTCTGTGAGTGACAGAAATGTCTTTTCGGATACATTTTACAATGCTTCTTAAATCGTCTTTTGTTAGTGATTTAGTGAGAACTTCATCAAGATATATTAGCTCCATGATAACATCCAAGGAACACCATTCAAACGCTATTTTCCCATATTTATCAAACGCCTTCTTCAATGTGATAAATTCAACCACAGGTTCTACGAAAGAAAACTTGTTATTCTTTTCTGATTTTAGAAAGGTACCTCCAAACATTTCACAGCATGATTTTGGATCAATGTTTTTTATACCAGAAAATACAGTGCATAGCTGTTCGAAGCGTCTTTTATTTTCAGAGTCTTGTAAGGTAACATCAACTTGGCCCCCCATAAAAAGCACAAAGGACAAAACCTCGGATTCCTTTTGATACGACGATAACATTTCATCCATGTATTTTTCAACAGAATCTAACGGCAGTTTGAAAGTTGCTCTAAAGTCAGCTGATCTCAATGATTGGCTCCAGAACAGAAAACCAAAGTTTGAAGAAAGTTTACATGCTTCCTCTATGAATTTTGTGCCGCTTCCATCCCGCGGTACTTTTTTGTGGTTAGCTAAAATCTGTCGTTTGAATTCTTCATCCATGGTATATTCGTATAGTCGAATTATGTTCTTAAAAAAGGGTTTGTTTCCGAAAGTCGTCTTACATGCATTGTAAACCAGAGAATTCATAGTGAACACAATGCCCAATTTCTTAGACTCTACCAATTTACTAATGGTTTCAAACTTTCGAAGCCAATTTTCACCTGCTTCTGACGTGTATTTATGTATAGCAAACATGTTATCCAATATCAATACACATTTATTAACCTTTTTCAGTTCCATTCGAATTTCGTCTAATTGTGTAGATTCTGTGACCCATACGATGTCGAAATCATTAACTTTCTTAAACTGATGCAGAATTTGAGCTATCAATGTCGACTTTCCGGTATTTGGACCCCCAATGATACCAAGGCATAAATCGTCTATGAACATTCTGTTTCCATTTTTATACGCTGCTGTTGGTATAAATTTCGATTCGTCTTTAAAAGTATGTTTTTTTATAAAATCTTCGGCCTCTACTGAAAAAAAGAATTTAAGCAAAATATAAACAATGGAATATTTTTAGCCATATTGATGAAATCTCATACGGTATCGCAGAGTGACAATCTCAGTATGATTGTCCGGAAATCTGACGAACACAATTGAAAAAAGATTGGAAGATTTCTTACTGGAACTTTAGTCTACTGAATTTAAGTGCTAGCAGAATATCTGTGAACGTTCACAATATTGTAACTGCAAATGATCAATCAGATGACAGTGACGCTTAAAAAGCGGATAATATTAACTTACTTATACGATCTTCCAGAGATTTGGAATATTGCTTTTTCAACCTATTCCTTTTACCTGGAAAAATAATATCAGACATTAGTGTTGACTTGATAATCCAATCGTCCGGGTAAGGTGTCGCTTCAAGTCTTATTATATTAACGGTTCCTAGTATCGATCAAGGTGAAGGTCTAGGAGAATACAACATGAAGTATTGGTACTATACTAGTCCCATGCCTTTGAGTCGCCAAAAATTGACCTCTTAGTGCTCGATGAATCAGAAAATAATTGCGGTAGGTAGGCCTCGTCAGCATATTTACATCTGAATGAATGACAAATAATATTCTACAACTTCGACAGACGAAGTGAAATGTTGTCTCGAGATGGGCAATAGTGTACAGTGATGGACATTTTGCCAGGAGATCGATTCTGTTTGATTTTTTGGTAGTATTTGAAAGTAAAAAGTAAGTTTACTCGAGGGGTTTCCGGTAGTAGGAATATCTTCTCTGTTAACTGATTGTTGTTTAAATAAGACCAAGTCCTGTGCTGTAATGATAAGGAAACTGTAAGTCAGTAGACAATGGATACATTTAAACTGTAAGTCAATGGGCCGTGGATACATTACACATCGCTACCTTACATTTTCAAATAAAGTGAAGTTTTATCGTGTTTCACTTTATTTTTGAGTTACTTCCCTTTCAAAAATCTATACTGTACAGATAAATCTATACTGCTGCAATAAATTACTTCCAAAGATGTATTTTTCAACTAATACGGACCACGCTGAAAGGTAGGGGAACTACAAGTCGGTTTTCAACCTGGGGGTAATTTTGAAATATTTGGGGGTAATGAGATGCTTTGAAGGCAAGCATAACAGTTTTGGACGATTATAATAAGACGCTCTACTTGGTGGACACACAACAAAAAACCCTCTGCAATTTGGCACCAGGACAAAAAAAAAAAAAAAAAAAACACCACCCATATATATATTATTATATGCTTAAGAAAACGCGAAATTAGATTTATAAGGGGAAGAGGGGTAAGAGTAAGGATTTTAGTGAGCATTCTTACCATGGGCCATGTTGAATTTTTTTTTTAACTTCTGATCAACTGGATACGAGGAATGTTATCTCTGAAAGAAAATCTGGATTTCAATCAACAGTTAAGAATATACGCATATAATGCTTGTTCTCTTAAGAATTTCTTCTGTTTTGGGGGATTTTGGAGTAAACCTAGAAAATACACATTTTTTTAACAGACATGAAGATATTATGAGGATTTAGATAATCCTAGGATTTTCAAGTTGCTTTTTGTCAATATTATATAGGTCCTAAATACTGACTATCGTCCTTAAGGAAGTAGATACTTGAAACCCTTATGACTTGAGAGATAGAATTCTTGTGTGATTTTCTGGAAACGCGACACAGACAAGTGAAAAAGCTAGTACAAATTTTCTATTGTAAGCCTGATTTATTGTTTTGGTTACTAACTAAATATCAATTATGTCGTTGTGAATTCATTCAAAATGGCGTCGACATCTCAAACCGAAACTGAAAGTAGCCTTTCAATTGAAGATATCGTCACGAAAATTGTTGAAATTGAATAATATTTTAATATTTTCTAACATAATTCAGATCTTCCTGTATAAAGCCTGCTAATTGCTGTTAATGTCAACTTGACATGTGTATTATGGCGAGGCACATCACCAATAACTTACACACGTATAGAATCGACTACACTTGAACCGGTGGCTGACAAAGAAACATCAATAGAGGGTTTCATATTAATACAAAACTTACCTACTATAGGTTAGCTGGAATTGTTCAATATTCAGTGTGTTAATTGTCTAGAAACTTTAGTTATTTACATAAACCTGTACGTAACTCAGTACTCACAATGTCTTCTGTGTATAGTATTTCTTAGAAATCCATTCAGGTAGAAGCCTGGCCTATACACGAGTACACTATGTAGTGAGTGACGCGATATAAAAATAGGACACAGTGCAGTATAATAGTGATATAATAATGCTATGTTACAAAGATAAGGGGAGATAAGTTATGATAGTAAATATAGAAATAGCACGAATAGCAGTAGTCGTTTACTTAAATACATATACAAAAATTCTGTTGTGCTACAGGTTGTGTAAGTCTAATAAGCCTACCCTTAACAGTTGGAAATCGCAAAAGTAGAAGGCTATCTGGCGCAAATGTTGCAATTGCGAGACATAGCTGCACATTTAAAGTACTGATTTTTTAACGATTGAGCAAGTGTTTTCTGATTATTTGTGTTGAACTGTCTGATTGACTCTTAGCTTCAAGGTGTTTCCATCATGAAACGGTCAACGGGCGATCCTTATGATTTTGGCAATAAATGATTAGGTTATTGGCGTTTGGAGCCGTCTATGGTTATGCGCGAGAAATGTTCGTGTTGGTAGGCTTCATGTATATTGGAAATTATTAAAATTAACAAATTTACAATGTAATAATATGTTTATTTCAATACAAGGACCAAGCACAATTCGTTGAAATATTGATATGTTAAAGGTAGTAGCTCAAGTCAGATATCCATTAGCCTGCAATGTAAAAAAAAATATGTGATTGCAAAGCAGATTTGTTTTTTTTTTCAAATATATTTTCCATTTAGGAAAATTCATTAAGAAAGTATAACATCTGATAGATGCACATTTCCGATGCAAAATAGATGTAGACACAGGTTCGTAGATTCATTTCCCATCTGGAGCAACAAAATAGAATGTAAATTTGGTAAGGAACAATCAATTCGTGGAAGTACTTACAAGTTTTACATTTATGTGGACATTTAACACTGCTTGAAAGTTGTTTACATTGTTCTGTGACATCGTCACTTCGTATAAACAGGTCACAAATATAAACATCAGCCTTATTACAGTCACCTACAATGTACCGTAAATACAATTGAGAAATCTAAAAGCCTTCTGTTCTTCCGAGATACATTGTGCTACAAGGCGTGTTCTTTAAAGATCCATCCAAAATCTAACACGAAAATACATGAAATGTTCCTGTAGGTTCAACGCATTGTAGCGTACCGTGTAGCCTTTGTGTCCTGAAAATTCTTTTCGTTGCTTTTTGTGTGGCCCCAGAGCAATAATGTTGATTGATTGACTGTTAACCTAGTTCGGGCTGTCTTCGCGCAAGAATTCGAAATTACATATTCATATGGTCAACTAGGGTCAATGTCAGACTCCCATTTTATAGAAAGTGTTT